GGGGTGTCGACCCCCGGCCCCCGGGACCCCCGCCGGGGCCCCGGGGCCAGGGCTCGACAACCCTGCTCGTGGGGTGCATTTTTTTGACGAAATTCGTACGGTGGACGAAGTTGAATACGATTCTTTCAAATCCGTGTGTGTTCGATTAGGCCTTTTGCAAACAGACGATGCATACGATCAATGCATCGACACAGCAGCGGCGCATTACATGCCTGAAGAAGTTCGTAAAATATTTGCTATGGTTCTTGCGTTTGGTCCTTTGAACGATCCGGTCCGTTTCTTTGAACGACATTGGGATAAGATATGTGATGATTTTTAATATCGTGAGGGCAACGAAGTTGTTCCCCCGAACATTTTGCAATCCTTAGTGTTATTCCATCTTGACCGTATTTTATCTGGAAAAAACATCCTTCAATTCTGCCTTTATTATCCAACACCTGACGGGAAAACAATTGCTGAGAACATAACCAGACATTACGAGAACAAAATTGTATCCTCGATTTTAAACGACGAGTTATCATATGATCCGATTCAAATGCAACGCAAATATGATTCTAATTTCCGACGTCTTCGTCCACGTCAATGAGTGTTGGTGGAAAGAGTCCGGGGTGTGCAGGAGAAAATACCGTTGCGTGCTTTTGTCGATGCACAGGCTGAAACAGGAAATACTTTTTACATTGAAACGATTTTGGCAGGCATCAGGTCCCGTTCTGTCATGGCACTGGCCGTCGCGTCTAGTGGCATAACGATGACTCTTTTAACGGGGGGTCGAACGTTTCACTCCCGATTTCACTTACCTTTGAAACCTGATAATACGCCTCCCTTCTTGATTGCGAAACAAAGTGATCTTACGGAAACTTATCCACCATGTCGACTTGATTGTTTGGGACGAGGCTCCGATGAGTAATAAGTTTCACTTGGAAGCTCTTGACATTACGCTTCGGGACCTCTGTAACAATGACGAGCTGTTTGGTGGGAAAGTTCTACTTCTCGCTGGGGATTTTAGACAGGTTTTACCCATTGTGAAACGTGGATCGCGAGCACAACCAATTGATGCGTCCATGAAAATGTCTCCTTTGTGAAAACTTTTTGAGATTCATCAACTGACTGAAAATATGCGAATCTTAAGCTTAGGGGATGACGAAATGACACGAATGTATGATCACTATTTGATGCGTATTGGGAATGGTGACCATCCTCGCATTGTTCCTAATGAACCTGCTGCGGTCAGATTGCTACGTGAGATTTGTACGGATAAACCAATTGATGAATTGATTTCATGGATGTTTGATGATGTGTCCAACCATATGGGCGATGCCGAGTATTTCTTGCCTCAATTAATTTTATGTCCTACTAATGACGATGCTGGTTCTGTTAACAACCGTGTTCTTGACGACTTCCCTGGGGACGTGCATGAACTTTTCAGTATTGATTATCGTGATTCAGATGATATCGGGCTTGGTATTGAGCGGAAGTTCTTAAACTCTCTCAATGAATTTGACCTTCCACCTCACAAGCTCCGCTTAAAAATATGTGCACCTGTGATGCTTTTGCGAAATTTGTCACCGAAGCAAGGACTTTGCAATGGCACAAGGCTGATTCTGAAAAAAATCGTTAATGATGATTTGTTGGAAGTGACAATAATGCACACGGGTAAAACAACACTAATCCCCAAGATTGATCTGACAAACGATGGTGAGACTACTGGGCTCAAATGGTTTAGGAGGCAATTTTCAGTTCGTCTTGCTTTTGCTGTAACGATAAACAAGTCGCAAGGACAAACGGTATCACGTGCTGGGGTTTCGCTACGCAAACCGGTTTTTTCGCATGACCAACTGTACGTTGCTTTGTCGCGTGTTGGCCATCCCAACAACATCCGTGTTGCGTTACCTGATAAGAATTTTTTTACGAAGAATATTGTATATCATGAACTTTTGGGATGAGTCCTTTTTTTTTTTCATCGAGCCTTGGCATTCCAAATAATTCGGTCATATTCTTTTTTTGCAGGCGACTCCCGAATTCCGCATAAGTACGACACTTGTGCTAAGAGGAAAGCAATGGAAACCAACAATACCACTCAGTATGATACGAATATTACGTCGAAAGTTGGAGCCGAACATTCGGAGAGGTCAAAGAAAAGTGGGAATGATGAGAGGTCGGTGAATCTTGGAAGTGAACATCGTCGGGATGATCATCCTGTTTTGCGTGAGGTTGAACGTGAACGTTCCCAAGAGAATACCCTTGATTATGCTGAGAAAATGATTGTGGAGGGGGATGGTGACAATTGTCGTGTTGATGGGGATGGTTCGCGTAGAGGTCAGTCGGGTAGGCCTATTAACCTTACATTTCGCGATCTCGAGGATGATAACATTACAGGTGATTCGAAAGGAGACTTTGTTGAATCTACATTCGTAAGAAAAAGGAGTCGTTGTGCGAAAACTAATGTTTTGGATTCACTCGGAGTGCCCGAGCCTACGCTCGGTAATAATCGGGTGGAACGGCAACTCGTTGCTGGTGAAATGGAGACTCAGATTTTAAAAGCGTTAAATGATCTCCCTGTCGAGACACTTGCATCTCTTGAATTTTGTGCACCGCTCGCTGGGCGTGCACGTGTTCGTGATTCGTATTCGCAATCTCAACGCAGTGGACGTGAAAGAGATGTTTGTGGCACATCGCAACCGCAAAATCCTGCGGGTGTTATTGTGGTGCCCGACGATAAGGATGAACCCGCAATCCGTGCTCTGAATCTGCGCGCTTACCTACGAAAATGGTTTGAGGATGCGAAAAAGGTTGACATACAAAATGTCGTGACTGAGGTGCTTTTTGAAATGTTTGTCTAAACTGCCACAGTCGTAAAAGATGGACGAATATGGAAAAACTTCCTCGAGTGAAAAAGAAACAAACTCGCTAATATGCGGTTGTTTTGAGCGATGAGTATATTGCTCTCTCTAATGAGGACCTTACTAGGATGACATTTGATTTGCCACATTGTCCGACAAAAGGGTCAATTCCCCAACCTTTTCACAGATATGCACGGATACAGCAACTTCTCAAAAGGATTCCTCTCGTGGTTGCTTCTTCCACTCGTCATTGCGATCCGGTCCGTAGACTCCCCCTTCAAGCAGCATCTCCTTCAAATTTTCAACTTCTTGCGGATTATGCACCACCATCCAGTATGTCAACGCTGATTGTCACTACTTTTATTGTTGTTTCTGCTTTGCCGACCGCTAGAGCTGCTCCGTCTCCTGTCAGTTGTGTTGCGTTCGCTATTTCGCCATCAACAGACCATCTTCATGTCCATACTAGACCCTTAGAACAACCAAGTTCTTCTAATTTTAACATTGTCGTCTATGACTCTCTTGAATCTATTGATCCCAAAAAAACACTTGCACACCTGTCGTATCTTGACAGTTATCACAGGGTGCAAGATATTGTGAAAGCAGCAACGAAATTGAATACGAGCATGAACACTGGGAGATGTGTGGATGCAGCAATTCATCTCGATTACAATCGACAAAGACAGGGTCGATTTAGAAGTGAGTATCATCGCAAAATGTTGCAACAAGTTTCTATTCGTGAGGTGCTGCAAGAGTATCGTTCCAGTGAAGGAAGTTGATTGGTCTTATAAGAGAGATAGGAAGTTAGAGATGTTGATTGGGCGGTCGTCCACACGTTGTCTTAATGACAAATTTCTTTATGGTCAGTTTCGATTTTGATTAAGTAATTGCCCTTACAAAAGAGATAGGAAGAGAGAGAGAAATAAATAGGGGGGCGGGGAGAGAGAGAGAGAGAGAGAGAGAGAGAGAGAGAGAGAGAGAGAGAGAGAGAGAGAGA